TGACCAGTCATACAGCATCATTGAACGGGTGCTAGCCCTAGTCCCTAACAGTTATTTCACTCTAAAAATTCACGATGCTACGTTTACTAGCAATGATGAGAATAAATTGTTAGGTGTAAAGATTGGGGCTTGGCCTATGGGGGATTGTTGCTCTGTTAGGGCTAAACAGCTTTGAGAAGGACAAACAATTAGAATGGTTCCGGAAATTGTAAGAATGACATACCAAGTATGAGGATAAATTAGAGTTATGATGAGTTTGTTTAATGTACAACGAAGTCTACTGATGTTTAATGGATAGTTAATTGTAAAGAAATTGCTGTAATTCTATATGTGAGGCAAGAAGTCCCTCTGTATACATGAAAGCGGGGTTTTCCGCACACTAGTGTGGACTCCAACATACTCCCTAATCTAACCTAAACGGGAAGGTTGTTGGAGATCCTGAAGCCAATGTATACTGTTAGGCATCTATTGGCTAATTACTATTCATGCCAGTGAGTGATGATATGGGTTAATCATATCTCATGGCGCCAGTGCATATTATTCTAATATGTACTATTTGTTTACTGCAGTCATGTTGCTGCCTTAATTACAACACAAACAACCGGAATGTGCAAAGAAAAATGAAATAAATCTCTATTTCGCAAGCTAGCAAGGACATCTTAGAAAGGGTTTCTATTTGAGGACGTCCGTGGGCGTCAATACTAAACTCTCGGGGGGGCGAAACTCAACACTTGTCAGTAGTGTCCCCTACAAACCTCCAGCTCTTACTGTAGAGTCTGCAGAGCCAAGATTAAGTAACACCTTTTCAACTTTTAGCTGAGTTACCTCCTCCTCCGTCAAAGATACGCTTACGATAATACACAAGACGACGATAATAATGCTGGGAATGAGGAAAGATAATGCGGTACCAAACGCTACAATGGTAGTCAGAGAAGCCCTTGTTATAGTTCAACATGTGCTACCAGCCGGTGGGCGAAAAAATAGCCCACGGAAGCAAAGTAAAAGACCCTTCCACCTTTAAGAAGAGCAGATTTCGTCTCATCAATAATATCGTCTCTTCTAATCTATATCTCCGAATCTACTATCCAAGAGGGCATCCGGAATACATGAGTTACTCGACAACCCCACGTCCGTAACGACTTTTGGATGCTAGGCTTGGCTTCTTCATGGCAGTCGCTCTCGATCATGACTTTCTGACTTTCTGACTTTCTGACATTCTTTCACCATCTACGATTTATCTTGCAGCATGAATCAGGGGAGGAGGCTAGGAGGGTGAAGAGATACTCTTACACATATACAGGTCTGCTGTGCCCGGCTTTCTGGCCTCTTCGTAATACAAAAGCCCCACACCCAGTGGTTTTTGAGACTTTTCCTTACAGCTTAACACCTGCAAATGGCCATCACTTCGTTGGATGAAGGGGGAGATGATGAAGGGCAAAGGGCTCTTCTTAGTTTATGACCAAATGAGGACCTGTGAGGGGTAGTTGTTGAATTACAAGAGCGTTGGTTAAACATATTTATCCCTGTACCTTAACATAAGGGAGTTAGGGTTGTGATTATTATTTGTATAGGAGTAAAAAGGGAAAGGCGTTTGGAGATCTTATATACCCTGTATTAGTAGTTCCATATTCGCGTGTAGATGAGCCTAGTAGTGGAACGTTGGTACGAGCTAGGCTGCAGCATTCTTAGGGAATGCTGAGACTGTTGTAACAATACACATTTGTTTAACCCTATACTTTATCGAATCTACTTCCAGCCACACTGTTATATCCATCTAAAGGAATCATAATCTAATATTAGTACTGTTTGAGGAGATATTTTTTTGCTATTAACTTAATGTGTATTCCACCGTCCAGCTGTGACACATGATTAGTGCAATGTTTACACGTTGGATCCCTTTTGAGACCCTCATGCTCTGCATTTCATCCGCAAATATCACTACGAGGTGTAATTGCTCACGCAAACTGTTAGAAATGGAGACACATATTGTTGTGGACGTACGGGCCCTCTATTTCGCCTTGGTTCTCGATACGATCTTGTGTGTCATTAAAAGGTTGGAAGGAGTAACATGGTAGCACTTTAGGCTTCCTATCGGAGACATGAGCGGCTGTATGGCCTGGGCACAAGGAGGCTATTGAGAGTGTTTCTAAGCCTAGATTGCGCCACAATTGTTTATGCTATGGCTTAGGCTCTATGTCGCTTACACTTGTACACAGAGTGCACATCTCCCCCTCGTTAGCCGTAATCCGAACATGACACTCTTTTGGTCAACTTCTTTTTTCGTTCCAGAAATATTGCGCCCATTTCCTTGCGTGATATTTCCATCACAAATAGTCGACCCTCCTCCATGAGTACCCATCAAGTGGAAGCTTCAAAACCTTTGATTATCCAAGCACACCTTGCCGTCCATGAACACGAGTACTCTAAGAAATGACATATTATTTGCCGAATTCGAACCAATAATCTCTTGTCTCAAGTAGGAATCGTGTCCAGGCTCTCCAAAATCTACCCAGGAGACCGACCCAGATGATGCACCACTGCACCATCCAGCTATGACGGTTTCTGAAGTGTCGCCTACACTTTCGCAATCGAATTCGTGTAGCGCACAATGCTCAATTTGAAAGTCTCCTATCTAAAAATCGAAATATAATCCCTTACAGGATTGGATAGTGCAGTCGTACACCATCCTGGCCGTTCTCTCAAGTAGATACTGGGTAGCTTGAACACCTACCCCATTCGAGACAGGAGAAAGCTGGTTCGAATCCAGAAAGACCCTCACACCACACTCTCTCGCGGTGACATTGTACTTGTGGGATGATGAAAGAACACTCGGATAGCCACAGGGTTTTCACGCTTTTCTTTGTGGTGGGTATACACGGAAGAGGTCATACGCCATAAGGGTTAACCTCGAGTGGTATCTGCAAATGAAATCTGAGTGTAAGTGTTCTAAACCTCGAATTGAGTCATCCTACTTAAAGTACATATCTTCCGATAAAACTTGCATGGGCCTCATGGCGCCAATTCAGGATAATGAATAATTATTATTATAACTCCTTACAAGGTTGTTTTCACCGGTGATATCACTTTATCTTTCTTTCTGAATATCTCTCACTTTCATCTTGAATATCTACCTCCTAGATTCGTGCACCACAATTTGTTTTCCTGCGGCGGGTGTAGATGTCATCGTGGCTGTATATTTGGAGGCCATTTAAGGTCAGAAACCGATTGGACGAGAGGTGTAGTCATACAGACGAGGATCTACTAGGTCGTACTTGTAGACTCGATCAGGATTCGGTGGAAACTGATCTCTCTGGGAGCGGAAATTTGATTTAGTATAGAGTATTTAAGCATTGCCTCGTAGGCCAAATATCTCGGAATTGCGAAATTTAACTGAACCTTGGTCAGGAATAATATTTTACTCCGAGGTTCGTAGTGGACTCCGCGGGAATGAGTGTAATCTTTGGCCTCCGCACCTTTTTTTTTTGCATCAGATTTTAATTGCGTATGCAGCTATCTAGCTATGACACAATATCAAAGAAAAGTACAGAATGGATGATTCAACGTAAGGGAAGAGCACTCATGCCTCGGATTTCATTTGCAAGTACCACTGCGAAGTTATGGTGGCTTTTTCTTCACTCCAAGTAAGCCCTCATCCGTGAATACCCACCCAGGGAAACGTCTCAAAAACCCTGAGTTATCCAGACATGCCTCCATCATCTTTCAACTTTTCTCCGCGCGAAATATGGTCTGGGGTGTCTCCTTCCCAAGTCAAGAAGGTGCCCAGGCTACTCAAACCATACCAGAGAACACCACCAAGAGGCGGACTACTACACCTTCCATCGTTTGCTTATTTTTATAGTGTCAGCTGCACTCTCGCAAGCGAATTCTTAGCGCGCACAAAGCCTAGTTCGTAAAACTCTTGCCAAAACTTGGAATTTCACGCCCTTCGAGGTAATATCCTTCCTTTGCATCATCTTGTAAACTTGTCCTAATCCCTCTCACGTTCATCCCAAAGAACTGTCTCTCAGATTTGTGCGCCACGCTTTGCTTCCTCCGTCGGGTATAAATATCGGCGTGGGCGTGTATTTGGTGGTCAACTGAGACCAGAGAAAGTGGAAGAGAGGTGTGGTCATTGGGACGAGGATGTACTAGGTCGTACTTGTAGACTTGATGAGGCTTAGGTAGGAATCGGACTCTATGGGAGCGGAAAACGACGTGGTGGAGTAATTTTAAATTTTGCCTCGTGGGCCAACTTCTTTGACATTGCGAAATTTGACTGCACTTGGCTCTGAGAGAACATTTTACTCCCAGGTTCGTGGAGGACACCGCGCACAGGTGTTCAGTCTTGCCCTCCGGCCTCCGCACCGCATTGAGTGCGTAGAGTAGAGGAATGACTTTCAGCTCATATAGCAAAATTGACTCATTTGTACTACTCGGCGCATAATTTGGAGCGCTATATTTTGATTATTTGATTGGTCTGTAAACGAGATAATTAGAGTAAAGAATCCAAGGGCATTGGAACCCCTTTCCTGGCAATCGACCATTTCGAGCTTTACAAATTTTTACACATGTTGAGCTACACTTAGTCTTTCTTCACACCGCTTTCTATGTTCCATAGCAAAAGTAAGTTTCAATTTCAAATAATTTGTAAAGCCGACATTAGTAATGACTGTGACGGGTTTCATCTATAGAGCTTACGATCGCGTGACAGCGATAGCTCTCATCCCCGAATCATGGGTGATAGACCATATCAATTTCCTTTTTGCTTCTTGCCCATGTCACAAGTAGAAACTAATTCTGATCGGAGAATTCTGCACCGACGTGTACTTTTTTCCAGGCGCAGGTTCCCAATCATACCATCCTCAACATTCGCCTAGACGCCGCTGTCCTTTTAACTGCTCAGATTACAACAAAAGTCCATCAAAATATACAACGCCCTCGCAACTCATTTATTAAACCCTCAACTCACAAAGAATTGGTTGCCCAGCCCCCTATGAATAATGGCAGAATTCGACGAGGATGCGCTACTAAATCGCCAACAATCGGGCTCTCATGAGGATGTCGATCCTACCGAGGAAACTCAGGACTTTCGGTTCTTAGCCAACATTATCTCACAATCCAGTAGTCAGTTACCGAAGCGGGGTGAAAAGGATTTTGAGCCTCATGGAACCAAGCACCAGGAAGGCATATTAGAAGCAAGTCGAAATGCTATGCACGCCGCTCTGGCCCACACTCGAAGCCACAATCCAAAGAATCATGTCAGAGGCTTTTACTTCGGCGATGAGTATGAGGGCGTTTGCAAGATAGCAAGACAAGGCCTGTACGATGACCACGTTGTGCTTGTACAGCAGGCTAAGGGGCCACATTTTAAAACTATAGGGAAAATGACGACGGGTCAGAAAACTCCTTCGCTCTGGCTCTTACCAGAGGAGGCTCTCTACTTGATAGAGCGTGGATTTTTAGATCTCTGTTGGCCTGCAGGTGAAGAAAACGTCGGGGAAAGCGATAACAAGGAAGTAGAACATGAGAGTGACAGAAATGAAACAGGCTTACCATTGAGTCTTCAAGCAGCTTACGCTTTATTAATAGGAGACGATGATGAAAAGGGTAAAGTAAGCCTCCACAGATATATGGTATATGCAAACCTCCGGAGGACAGGCTATATTGTTCTCCGCGCACCTGAATTTGACCCTATGGTGCATGATATGACCCAGGCATCTAAATTAAGTCACTCCAATTTTCAAGCCAGCATCTTCCACAGGCTTTTTGGCCGCCTATTTACGGACAGAATTGATCGTAACGAATTCGAATCGCTGGTCCAAGCAGGTATGTATCGATCGTATAGTGACATATACAGACAGATAACCATCATTCAACGACACAAGCCACAACCGGCTCGTTCGACGGCACTTCCAAATTTAGAAGATCCGTATCGGGTGGTATTCTATCTATGGAAGGCGGACAGGATGCTTACGTTTTCAAAGAGAAATCCAAGTCCGCCGGACTTTCGTCTTGCCATCGTAGACGCTCAAACAGAATCCGTTCCGTCTCTAATGCAGATAACTTCACTACTAGAAAGTACACAATTTGCCCCGCCTAATATACAATCACTCGCGGGAGCAGGAAAGATATATCAACGGTTGAAACATGGATGGCGAAGTGTAATATTAGCAGTTGTTGATCAGGGAGTGATAAGTTTCTTGAAGCTGGGAGAATCAGCTTTTGGGGAAGAATTAATGTATGAACGGTTTGACGGCGGCGCTTCAAGTAGAGGAGGTAAGCGCGGCGGCTATCGTGGAAGGGGTGGGAGAGGAAGAGGTCGTGGTCATAGTCGTGGCACATAATTCTGTTCATGAAAATCTAGACTCATGTTTGATGATTGATGTTATCAATATGGATAAATGAGTCAGAGAGGTCACTACACGTCAGACTTTTGGGGAGGTGAAAGTGTTCGGATGTATGTGCCAGAGATCGATGCGGGCGATAGTGAAACCGACGCTACTAACCAACCTCCATTACCCAAATGCCCCCCTCCCCCCAATCGATTCCCTTTAACTCCATCCAATGTCTTTAAGACACAAATCATTTTCTAGCTCTTGGCACGTCAGCCTCTAGAGTAGGTCCTGTTTCATCCAATATTTACTATATTTGTATCTTTCTTTCCAAAGACTGCTCCGTCTTAATACTTTCCCGTCAACTCTTGCTTGCATCAAAAGTCCATACCTCCATGACTCTTCTTTGCTTCTTTTCCTCATTCAGACCCACCTCCACCTCACTTTCTCTTTCCGTTCTCCCTGAGCCGTTCGCATTTTTTTTGCACTATTCTTTAATTTCAACTTGGATTATTATACGAACAACTCGGCTTTTACCCAAATGCAGCAGCGACAGCCACATCTCTCAACCACCTCATCCGACTCTGGGTCGTTGACAAGTCCAAGTCCTGAGGTCATGATGGGTCTGGAGCTGGAACTTTTGGAGAGCACTTTAACCAGGTAGGTGCATCAATGTGTTCGGGCCCATAGTCAAGCAAATCGTGGCTTCAGCATCGCTAATCCCTGCAATGGCGTTTTTTGCGATGATACGTACATGTGCAAGTCCAGCAGTTTTGAAATTTACAATATGTCCTTTCTACCCCTTCCATCTACCAACAACAAATATCTCCTTACATCCTCTTGCCCATCGATCCGCTACATTTTATACCCGAAGTGACTACTTCATCTAAGGGGACAGGAGCTCCTATCCAATCTGGGAAGGAGCGAAGCTAGATCCGATTTGAAGTCTTTCGATCCATTGATTGGTCCTAGGCCAAATCTACCTCGTGCGCAAGAGATAACTTGTTCCGACCAAAAATCTCTACCAGATAACCCATTATCGATACACAGAAGTATATACGTATATATACATGTACACAAATACATATTTATCAGTGTATATATAGATTACTCATTCACCGTTGGATATACCGAGTCGCCACGTCTGACCCAACTCCTATCATTCTGCTTGATATCGGAATTTCATCTCTACACCTACATCAATACGATCAATCGTATAATTTCGTTTTGCCATATGTTGATCTTGTAAAAGATTACAGCCACCCGCTCGTTGCTCAACCTAGTTAGAAAGTTTTTTCTTTTTCCTTTCACCTTTGCTTCAGATTATCTTCCACACCATTTAATTACTAGAAAAGCTACCATGGCTAAGTCTGCCACAGACGATTTTCTCACCTGATGCGCATTTATCAACCCCCAGCACTCTCGTACTAATGCCACGGTCAGGTTCGACACACCATTGGACGAGATGCCTGCCAACAATACTTTCGGTCCCCCCAAATTAAATGCTGAAAAAAAAGTGACTGCGCAGTCACCAGAATTACTCAATGTAGAAGGTGATGGTGACACCAGCTTTGAAGATTCTGAAGGCTCAGACGTTGAAGAAGAGGAATACGATGAAGACGAAGACGTGACGCCTATTATGCCAAAGCGCAAACGTGCCTCTATCAAGTATGCCCAGGAGGCAAGCTTGGGTCTAATGCCATCACCTGAAGGCTCTACCCCAAAGCGGCTAAAGCCATCAGTAAAGGTTCGTGGAGTTGTAGTCGGTGTATGGAGAGACTCATGTGAATCGGATGATGCTGAAAAGCATGCTGTCTTTGGCTTCATTGACCTCCATGATCGCCTACGAACAAGAATTTATGCCATGAATCGCCGGGGAGAGGAGCTTATAGGAAATGCTCCAATGGGTGTCGGCGGGTGCTGGGTTACATTCGATCGGATATTGTTTGACCAACATCTTCAGGGCCTCTCTCCTTCCGAATTGAAAGAGTACGTCAAGATTCGACAGGCAGGACGGCCAGAGATCGACTATGAGTCGAGAAAGCAGGCTGATTTGTCCGCTGTAGAGAAGGCCCGTTCGATTGTGGCACAACAAGAATCCACCACACCTATAACTAGATCACCTTCAGCTCGAGCCACAGGAGCATTAACTAGGAATTCTCTTGGTCGACAATCCTTATCTCGACTATCTACCTCACAAAAGTCTGGTACAGGCTTCAATACCACCAATGATGAGGCAGTCCCAAAAACTAAGGCTTTGCAAACGGGTGAAACCAAAAGTCAGGGGATTATACTTGGCTTTTGGAGCGATTCTGACGGGGTTCGCGATGAGGACAAGCACGCTGTCTTTGGTGTACTGGGTGGATCTGATAGCTTCCGAGTTAAAGTGGCTAGACAAACTCGTGATGGACGACCTCGAGACGGGAACTATCCCTTGGGTGCTGGTGCACTATGGCTTAACTACGAAAAGCTTGTTCTGGAACCACACCTCCGCACATGCTCCCGGCCTGAAGTTAAGGAATACTGTCGGATTCGTCAGGAACAACTACGCTTTAAAGAGACGGAGAAAGAGAGGAAATCAAATGAGCTTAATGCTGTAACGAGAGCAAAACAAATTATAGCCAGCAAAACAACCAAAGATAGCAATAGTATCCAACAACGTCGAGTAAGCTCTGATTCGGAACCTCAAGAAAGTTCGACGAAATCCGAACAAAAAAACACTCGACAACAAACTGATACAGTGGAACAAGCAGAAGTCACTAATCGACCGAAGCGTGGAATACAAGTAGCACGGGAAGCGCCAGTATCAGAGAAGCCTCGTCGTGAGAGCATATTTTCTGAAGCTTCAGTCACGGAAGCAGCAGAAAAGGAATTGAGGAGTAATATGAAGAAGCTAAATAAAGTTTGGGTCGCCCAACAAGCAGCTACATCTCCCGAAGAACCTACTGTTCGTAGTGTCGAGTCAGAGGTTCGTTATCACAACGGAATAAAGTATGAGAGGAAAAAAAATGGACCATTTCAAGGAAAACTAGTCAGTCCAGCCCAAATTTTGAGCATCGATGGCGAAGATTTTGTAGAATACCGAATCCTGACCAAGCCATCTTTTGACTGACTTGATTTATTCGAACTACTCAATTATATCTACAATATTCAATGAACAGATATGGTCGGTCATCACTTTTTTTACGAACGTTCGCCATTATCACTCGTAACTTTCAAAAAATTCTGTCAATGATGGGTGGCGGGAGGTTAACATGTTTTATATCTTGGTTCAGGCTACAAGAAGTTAAGCGGGAAAAGATGGGTCAATGTTGTATTATTATTCGTAACAGTCAGCGATGTTTAAAAATATTGGATTATGAAAAATAGGAATAACCATTAATTGACACATACTTCTACTAGATCCCCCTTTTTTTCCGTCGCTCCACTTTCAATATCGTTTGAGTAATTTTCCGTCCTCATATCGCTCAAGCCTAAATCATCTTCTTCTTCTTTGGTTCTTTCGTAATCCTCAATTTTTAGTTGTGGATCGCTGCTAGGTGCGCAGAGGTTCTGTACATAGCTGCTAGCTAAGGGATCAGTCATGACGAGAGTAAAAAGTATCTCGCCTTGGATAGCGGAGTCTAGTTTTTCGAAGAATTTTTGCCACGTCGAGATACTGTCGGGCTGCTGGGAGTCGCCTATGTCGAATATTTGTCGGCGCAGATCATCGCGCATTTGGGTCAACAGGCCCTCGACCGTCGTGAAACGGCCACCAAGGGTGCCCGGATTAACGGCAAGGCTGAGCTCGGGACACTCGAGTGCACATGACTCAGATTTGAGAATATCTCGCGCTAGATCGGTCGGGGTTCGGACAAGTAGCGTGATCTTTTGGCCACGCGCTGGTACCGCGCCGCCCGTCTTTACCTCGTTGGACCGGTAGCCGCAGTGATCACAGACGGTGCTCATGATGATGACTTGTTGGAAGTGAGGGATATCAACCATCTTCATGTGCGTGACGCACGCTTTCACACAACCCGGACAGCTGGCCGGGAACGAGTAAACCTCCTGAGGACTTATAGCATCGGTATCATACGGCTCCGAGCTTGGCTCAATGCGTGGCTCAAGTTTGGGCTCCTGGTCGCCGAGGCCGAGCGCGGCATTCTGTTCTAGGGTTCGAGGATAAGTGCTACGTGCGAGTTTACCAACGCCATCACGATGATCCGGCTCGATCCAGGAGTTGCCAGCTGGATCATCGAGCTCAACGCGGAAGGGAAAAACGAGCCCTGCGAGCATGCTGCGGCCAGTTGCAATAATCTCCTCGATTTTGCTCCAGACCAGAGGCATGTTAACTTTGCGGTCAGTCTGTTGCCGCGAAAGATCTTCAAGTGTCATACTGAGTAGACCTTCCATATTCGTGAGCTGGCCGCGCCCGGCTGGGATCTCAAGGTCGAGTTCGATGAACTTTATCGTACCCGTATCAGATTTTACAACCTGCCGCGCAAAATCTGCCATCTGAGTAAGGCGAAGTTCGTACTTGCAGCCTTCAGTCTGTATTTCGCCAGCAGAGCGAATCTCTGAATTCTTGAAGTGACAGTGAGGACACTCAAAAGACATTAGGATTATCTCGCGGAAGTAGGGAATACGCGTGAGGAGGAGACGAGTAATTCCCTAGTTCAACTGTCAGTAAACGAGTTTTTAATGATAATTTTCCCAAACTACATTTTCATGGCAATTCATGCATAGACTCTCGACTTCATCTCCCGTCTGTTGATCAGCGTCAGTGCTTGGCTCGTTCGCCTCTTCAGAACCGTTTTGGACGGTCCCACATCCGACCGTTTGTATTTCCTGCGTCAATTGGTTTGTTTTATCCCCGATATCTGGGAATAAATCTGCGGCTTTCGTTGCAGCCGCATTTACATTAATTTCTTGTGGAGTAGACATGGCTTTTGTTGGGCTTTCGATGATTGATTGCTTATCAGTCTTCGGGTAGAGGAATACCCGTAATATTTTACGTATCCAAGGCTGGCCACTTGGTTTACGATTGAGGCGGTAGTGGTAATTATACCAGGAAGTCCCTTGTGCTGTGAAGGAGATACGTCTGCAGTATTTCGGCGGGCTGTATTTGAAAGGGAAGAGTTGTTGTGGAGTTGAGAAAAACTAAAATACCGCTGTCGGTCAGCGTAGACTGGGGCATATTTGCATAATTTGACCGGTGATACTGTTAAACCGGCAAATTCTCTTCTTGAATGTGCATGCAACTTGGTTTGCGTGACGTCTCCACCTAAATGGTCTAGCGAGGTTAGTTGTGGCGAATGTGGAATCGATAGTTTTAAACTACAGAGGACTGGCCGATTGGTGTAGTGGTTTGCCACTAGACATATTCGCAGCGCCCTACATTCAGGCCAATGCTTGCTGCGAGAGAGTAAGAGTCTACCGAGTGCCTTTCATTGGGCAGCAAACACTGATTCTTTGATTGGAGCATTAGGGGCTCCTCAAAATTGCGCTTGAGGACAATTTTTCGCGAGCAGTATTTTCCTGTATTTATTCTTCTCACCATTCAGACATAAATAGGAGAAGATAACGGTACCTGGTTAACTTTTTTCTTTCGAGTAAATAAGACAAAGGCATTGCATCATAATTCTTCCCTCTTGATGCAATCGGACAATTTTGATAGTTCCGTGGATTCCAGCTGGTCTCTTCTGTGAGCCTTGGCAGGTGATGTCCCACATTTTTCTGTCCAAGCCGCCAACACTTAAGCATTTTATAAGAGTAAGTAGCCTCAAACCCACGTTAAGAAAAAGGGCGCTATGATCAAATATTTTTGTAAAAGGCCAGTCTCCTACTACATTTTTTTGAATAATGACATGGTACTCATAGGTGTGTGGAGAACAAAGTAAAGATGTGGGTCTTTGCGTAGAATGGGATCTAGCGTCGCCATACTTCATTCCAGCGGTTAAAGCGTCGACTGGAGGGCTAAGACTGAACACCTGTACGCGGTGTCCTCTACGAATCTGGGAGTGAAATATTCTCCCAGAGCCAAGTTATGTCAAATTTCGTAATACCGAACAAGTTGGCCTACGAGTCAATGATTCAAAATACTCCATGTCAAGTTCTCGCTCTCAACGAAATAGTCTCATGCCGAAGCCTCATCTATTCCACAAGTACGACCTAGTACATTCTCATTCCTATGACCACACCTCTCTTCGACATTTCTGGCCTCATCTGACCACCAAATACACGCCCACGACGATATTTACATCCTATGGAGGAAGCAAAGCGTGGCGCACAAATCTGGGATGAAGTACTATGAGATTAACGTGAGAAAGATCGTGACAAGCTCACAAGATTATGCAAAGAAATGGTACAATGTCGTTGAGTGAAATTTGGATATTTGGCAAGGATATTTACATATTGAAAAGCATTTTGCGCGCCAAAGCTTCGACTACGAGATTGCAGTTGACATTATAAACCCAAGCCAACGATGGAAGGTGTTGTGGTCCGCCTCCCGATGGCGATTATAGATATATTTCGAGTAGCCTGGGCACCTACTCCACTTGAGAAGAAGAAGAAGAAGGCTCATACCACATATCGCGCGGAGAAGAGTCAATGGATAATCGAGGCATGTCTGGATAATTCAGATGGTTTGAAATGTTTCCCTGGGTGGGTATTCACTGATGAGGGTTGACCTGGGGCAAGAAAAACCCGCCACAACTTCGCAGTGTCACTGGCAAATGAAATCCGAGGCATGAGTGCTCCTGCCTTATATTGAGTCATTTATTCTGTACCTCTTCTTTGAAATTGTATTATAGCTAGCTAGCTGCATACGCAATCAAAATCTGATGTATAAAAAAAGTGTTGTCTAGAGTGAAGACACCAAGACATAAAGGCATGTCAGTCCACTGTCACTAATGCAGCTAGTTAGCTAGTTACCGTGGCAGTGGAAGGCTGAACATCTATCAATGGTTTCCTCGACAAAGCTGGAAGTTTTATATTCCATCAGCCGAGATTCAGTCACGAAAAAGGTTGGACTCGAGAGTTTCCAATGAAATAATAGTCGGGAAGACAGGCAATAGAAATTCTTTGGTCGGAAACCCGACCTGCAGAGATTTTGAGATTGCACAACCCAACAAAATTAAATATCCACACCACAAATACGAACCGCAGACGGTATCAAACGTGTCTGATGTTCGTAATAAATTAACTGATATTCCTCGTCCTCCCGACTTATCCTGGAAGTTCTTTACAAGATAAACTCGTGTCGCGACTCTCTCAAAAATCATCTCACCACCAACCGAAGTATTCCAAATTATAAAAGTAAGAATTAAAGTCTGAACTACAAGGAAAAATCTATCACTACGCAGTTTTTGCGTGCTGTAGAGGTAAGATGGAGGCGATAGCCTTGGATTTGAATGTACCTCGGCCAAGGTTGTTGGAAAATGTACTCTGTAGGATATTCTCCTGATATAGAATGATGAAAAAAGGCTGGACCCTTACAAGTATGGAAACCTCCGATTTATATATCTATAAGATAGATTCCAACTAGTCCCGCGTACTTGTCAAACTTGGTAATGACCATACACCTCCCATCTATCATGATATGACAGTTTATACTGCAGTGTATAAACATCTAAACTTATATGCAACATTAGGTATGATGCGCGCATCCGAGACACATGTAGAGAGTGTCGATCTTGTTGGGAACCTCAGACGGAGCAGATAACCAGTAAGTTCCAAATTCTAGAGTCGGAATTCCTAAAAAAGGGCACCACAAACGCGACCTTCGACAAATTTCCACTGACACATCAATCACAGTATTTGAAAAAGACTGAAACTTCGACGTTTTGGTCCTGATCTCTCTAAAGTAGATTCGGCCTTTTAGTTAGAGGTATGGAAGCGACAGGGATAGGCGGGACCCAAAAATTCCGAGAAGACGAAAACTTCGGAAGGATTAAGGAGATACTAAATAGAGGAGACCTTAGTAGGTGACTAGATAAAGACTCCTATGAAGAAAGCAAAAATTGAATGAGACTAGTAGCTGCTAGGATGGGGTAGTGCTGGATCAGAACAGAAGAGATATAATTCTTGAAAATAAGAAGGTATCAAGGACGGAGGCGCGTGATGCCCGAATCTTGATTTGCGTTTCAGTTCCTTAAACTTGGGCTTTCTGGACTGTTAGACCTGACATGTTGATCACACGGGTAAAGTCAGAAAAAGTTCATTCACTTAAGTGAGACGAGGCTCTAATTCCCATAGTTGTACGATGAAAGCTTATTGCCTTGCACATTTGTATTCATACACACACTACATTACCTCAATCTATCAAGTTAGGATCATCTTTGCTAGGCTGTTAAGGAATAAAATTTCACGATAAGACTTCCTGGATGCTTCCTCAAGTCAAGCGGGTGCCGATACCGAACTTGAGCAATCCTTCAATTTTTCAGCTTACCGTATTGCCGCTGTTCTGGTGACAATCAAAATCTCAATCGATCGAGATCCAACTACTGCCGAAATGATCACTGACGAGATTTTTCAAGTGACCGATTCGGTTCCTATTCAGGTGTGGTCTTATGGAATGAGCCTTTCCAGTGCGCCACATCGCAGCTTGAATGCCGTTTTTCCTCGGAAGCCCGCCACTTATCGGGCCTTTAGTCTTTTTGACGAGTCTAGGATGGTCACAACTCTGAAGCGACGTCCCCAAATTAAGCAGGTTAGTCACTGACTTGGCCAACATCCCACTCGTTACTACTCTTATTTTATGGAATGCTAGTACTATGTATCAACGATTCATTCTGTCGCGGAATACAAAACCTTTACAAATGTTACAGGCTGCGCCTGTCTCCTAGTGACTGTCGCACGGACACTTATCATTATTACGTCATTAGCCTTGCTATCTAAAGAGATGTCCAACTTGGCCATACAAATACAGGGTTGCAATAAATATGGAAACAAGATATTGTTGCAGCAAGTCTCATATGGAATCATGGGCTGATACGACCCAGATTCGCTATGACGAGCCCACTCGGAATATCAAGGATATGGTGTAATAGAACAGATAGTGAGGTTAGCGCATTGGGAGTTGGGACATGTTAAGTAGCCTCCCCTCGGTGGACAGTTCCGAGATGTGTGTAGAAAATAGACAGTAATCGGCCACCATTCCTTTACTATATTGTTTTGTTGATCGCCCATCACAACAAATTGTCGAAACTGTGGCGGTCCTAATCGTTTTCATAGTCGGAATTTCTTGGCTCGGCACACCTGGCCTAGTCTGGTGACCAAAGACCAATTCTTCACTTTAAGATAAGTCAGCCGATATGAATTGGCTGTAGTGGCCTGAGAAAAGACAGCTGAGACAAGTAGCGTGTTAGGAATTCAGCCTGCCTCTTAAGATACGATGATGTCCAGATGACTAGGCTACAGAGCCTTGAAACCTGATGAACAAGCTTGAGTGACAGAGAGCGCCTTGAAGAAACAAGTAATGACTTATACCTATATTGAAAATAGGCTGAAAACTTCGGAAAAAATCTGCGTATTCACTTCGAAGTCTTAGCGAAGATTACAAAACTCATCATTTGAGAGATGTAGCAGAAAATAAAGTCCGGGAGATGCGATGATCTTGAATCTAATGTGAAGAACTATTTTATTTTTCGGAGCCGTTTTCGTTTAATGCTTTAATATTCTGCATTTTCGTTGCGATTCACGCGGTTATAAGGGGGACTATTCCCAACACCTGTCAGTGGTGTCCCCTAAGCACCTCCAGATCTTACTGTAGAGTCTGCCGAGCCGAGATTGAATAACAAAGTCCTCACTTCGAAGAGGATTCCCAATCGCCTTCGCGGTCTGTATCGTCTTCATCTCTCAACACATTCCCCTATCACCATTATCATGAAGCTAACCACGATCATATCAGATGGTAGGGTCGGAGTCCTACTCATCACCAACCCTTGATCATGGAGGAGATGCCATCCTGTGAGTTTCCGGAGTGTAGCCAGCACCCGATACGGAGATGGTGGATTGGATCAAGTCGGCCTCGACTGTTACAAAGAAGGGAGATATAGATGAATATGCGCAGCTCATGTGGTCCCGGTGTCTAGGCCTCGTCTGACTGGAGCTGCAGGTTTTTTGAGACTTTTTCCCGCGCACGCAGTTTCCATTGCTACTATTTTTTTTTTTTTTTTTTGGGTAGAAGGTTCCGTGGAAAAGGTTGCCAGATTCCACGGATAAACACTGATCCGAATAGCTATTCATCACGGGCAATATATCAATGATCTTTCAAGTAACAAAAGAGGATAGGAGCACTGTACAAGGTGTGGCCTGGGTCATAGAGGATCCCAATGTGCTAGATAGTCATAGACTCAAGTAGCACAATAAACAAAACACACAAACACACACACGCGGTTATAAGAACTTGAGCCTGTTTACAGTTATCCCAACTAGTTCCATTGGTCCTGTTCCCACAGTGGACTCGAAGCCCGATCCTAGAACCTAAAAAATAAGTTGTTGCTTTGACGCCGGCAGCCCCCAAAAGGATACAGTCCTCGCGGTTACAACGCAAAGAACTATTAATGAAATAATTACCGAGTGGTCATTGACGTTGTCGAGCGTATTCATTCAAGTAACCACCGAGATGTAACTAAGTACTTGAATTGTAGTCATACGCGTCTCAACGTCGTGGCCTACTTGATAGCCCCGATTGCTCTAACTTCTAACAGATTATGTCTTTCAGACCACTTTTCTATAGCTTCACCCTATCCATAGGGGCTATTAACTTTTGGTTTCCAGGAATCTTAGATAAAGCTGTAATCTCTCATCGCGATAGATTGGGAGGGGGGTCCCACTTGGCAATGAGTCGAATTGCCATCATGTTGTCGAGTGTTTTGGACACATTCAAGAATGTGGTTCCACTATGCACTTCCCAGCAGCCATCTTCAACCTTTTTAGTATTGCTGTGTTCGGCGCAGGTCTGGAGATGGGTGTGCGCTTCTTGTGTTTCTGGCGGGGGTGCTCATAATGCAGCAACGCCTACAGGCGCCTATCCGATAGATTCTTCTCTTTCCTGGCTAAGTTTAAAGCCGTTGCACATCTAACGTCGGGGACAGAAATTTTTTGGTTGAATTATTATCTTGCTAAGTCGCGTTGATAGCATTATTTTCTACATTAACCGAGCCATTATGTGTAGCCCCGGAGAGCTTCATGGCGCTCTCTACCTCGGGGGCTACCTATATGAAGTCCTCTAGGCCTTGGTCAACAGCTATTTTCCGGATCTTCTCTATCTCCAAATCTTGTGGTCCGTCCTTTTTCATTTGGTTGAAATTATCCATAGCAACCTTGTCGAAATTATGATCATCTATTCTTGCACTTCTCATCTCTATCTTGGAGCGGATCAAATGCTTGATTTTCTTCATCATCTCTTTTAGAAGTTGGAATAATTGGGCCTATCAAGTAGGCCACGTTGTTGAGACGCATGTGACTACAAATCATGTACTTAGTTTCATCTCGGTAGTTACTTGAATGAATACGATCCACAACCTTGTGACCGAGGGCCCATAATATCGGAATACTCTTACGGAGTTATGTAATCACAAGCTTGTTGCAACGATGTGGACGGTTATTATTCCTTGATATCTAAAAGAGGAGACTAAAAACACATTTATTGGTTTTTCCGTTATACCATTCCCGATTAAGCAGCCTCGCCAAAGTACTCTCAACGCTGTAATTTGCATATTCAGATACTGTGTGAACTGACACACAAAATGTTATGTACAAGGGTCGAGTTGAGACCTTTCCTTATAAGGAATAGCGTTTAGCCAAAGGCAACAATGTATTTATAGAATTCCTCCCGTCAGGGAGAAAGAATAGGAATGAATTGAGTAACCCCATACAAGCTTGTGAATTCACCATTGGTAGTGTTCCGACAGATACATTATAGCCTCAATTTAATTCTTCGCGTCTAATTGATGAGCCGAAACACCAAGCTGGAAATATACTGGACTTTCGCGGACTAATATTAGTGGCGCCCGTGTCTGAATTGATCAAAGTGAAAATGTGACCTGCAATCACCTCCCTCTCCGATGATACGTCCCCGTAATACTGCTTTTGCGGACCCAGAGCTAGGAAAAATCCGGGCCACCGAAGACAAGTTAGTGGGAAACGGAGCTGTCGAGAGTTCCTAGGAAGATTGGCAAAGATAGGCGTAGTGCTCACGAGCTTTCAAGATGATACCCGAAAAGTGAGGATAGCAAATTTTCGAAGGCTCGAAAAATCGATGCACACACCAGAAAGAGGCACTCGGCGTGGTTGAAGTGGAGCTGACTATCACATATGATGGAATAGAAGGCAGTTTAGAAGTTGTAATGTCTGATGAGCAGTTCCACGACTCGGGTACTTGATGGCTGAAATTATAAGGTATTTCATTAAATATGGTATCCAAGATTGGTAACTTTTTTCTCCGCTTTCCTGAGCGACTAGGCTCATCTTGTATATCATATGTATGTTATCTGGTAAGGCTTTGGTCACTAAGTAGATGTCTGGCGTTCCAGACTCATCTATTCCAGCCCTAACCGTAACGTGCGTAAGAGATCAAATTTATGAAGAATCCAAAAAAATAAGGGGAATCTAGTGACTACCAAATCCCGAAGAAATATACTACACTATAAAAAATATGCATAACAACGTTATATCTACTGCCTCTATGTAAATTAAGGGTTGATATCCTTCGTGCGCTTATTATCAAAAGTATGCAATTTTAATCTGATTTTTGAGGCATAATCTCCCTGCATAGACAGTTGAAAATCAATTCGACAACTAAACATAATTTCACGAACAGTAATATTCCTATCCTATACATAGGCAGTGCACACAAGCTATAATTTTGTCTTGGTATAAACGGCATAATAAAACACCGTATCAAACCACGTCAATTTTTTTATTTTTTCTCTCGTAGTTGGTGATATTATATCAAGGCTAATTACATTCATAACATTGCTCATCTAGGCAATCTCTTGGTGGATTCTTTTACAAAGAGTAAGACTTATAGATCTATGAGTAAGACCTCTTGCTTTCCCCAATTATTTGCAATGATAATTCACGCTCCCTATGAAATCCTTGAATAACCCTTGTCATCAGTCATCATCGTCCAAGCGTAGTCAAAATTTCGAAATTGTAGGAAAAAATATCTTAAGAATCAATTCCGTGCTCTTGCGCCCTTCAGCTCCATACACCAGTAGTTTTTCAGACAAGTCAACGCAATCACAGCTTAAACTTTGGTTGTTACTGTCGCTTTACCGGTGTTTTCTGTAAGCCCATTACGAATCTTTAACACGTTATCTACAATGACGGCGTCTATGCCCTCATTAACTAGTGCCTAGATTAATTAGCATCAACTGGATTTAAAGTATTAAATGGACTGACCAAAACCTTTGCAGGATCGTTATTCTGCGTCCCATAGCTAACGCAAACTAATCCATTTTCTTTGACTACCTTGACCAATCTTGGGCTGTTGCAAAGTGGATCGGCGGCGCTGACAATACCTAGCAAATTCCATCGTCGGGCAAATCGAATTGCTTCGTGCAGACTGCTTGCCCGTATGTCACCCACAGGAGTTGTTCCAGCATCAGTAAGAAAAAGTATAGGGATACTGGGCTGTTTGAAGTTTAACATCAAGCAAATATCAGGATTAAAACTACTAAATATTATATTACGTTTTTTTCCAAGATTATATACCTTGTGAAGCACTGAATCGACAAATTCGTTGAGTTCTACAGCGTAGGTGTCCATTTCATGATCTTCAGACTCGTGAAGCATGGGGTACTTCATCTCAATATTAAATCCGACATCTTCTGGAAGCTTTAGAAGCATTTCTTCAAGTGTGGTGAAGGGAGCTTGAATAAAGTTCCCGCGAGAGTTAGCTTTAAACCCTTTTGCTTTAAAATCTCGGGTATGCTTCATTTTCTCTGACATATGACTGTTTGGTGTCGAATAACAAACTGACTGGGAGCGTGGACGCTCCACATTTCTGGTTACTCTTGAATGAGAGAAATTGCAACGAGGTGGTGATGCTGATTGGAACGCACAAGATATACTATCATTGACATGAAGAAACTGTTCCAAGGTCAAAGTGTGCACAGGTGCATCAATGCCTGTCTCACTAACAAGAAAGTCATGGTAGATTACCGGAACGTGATCCTTGGTAAGTTGAACATCGAATTCGACATAATTTGCTCCAAGATTGGCAGCAGCTATGAAGGACTGTAATGTATTTTCACCAAGCTGGAGGGATTTGTTGCTTGTCATATTTTTCCCCAGGCCACGATGACCAATTACCATAGGTGTGGACATTTTCTTCCAGTAAGTTTCTTTTGTACTTATTCCCATATTTGGATGGGAAAAGGGGGTAATTATGAGAAAGTTGAAGTTGACGGTTCCAATAACTTCTAGATCAGTGCTCTGAATTGGAACACTGACGTCTCCTTGAAGGCTCATCCGTTTAGATCCAATTGATTGCTTGATAGTTGACAATAAAGCGACACCACGACCAATTTTACTTTTCTGATTACCTGAGTATGTCGGGATTATATCGAAGTAAAGTCTAATCTTTGTAGCGTCCGCGGTAGTGAATACGATAGGTTCAGCTAGAGTATTTTCTTTTATTGGTAAGTCAATTATTGTAGGTTCTCCTTCTACACCATCTGCACTGACGTAAAGAGAAAGAGCCGTATCAAGTTGCGTTGAGTGTGCTTGAGCTAACGATATTCTCTCCAACTCGATAGCTGATACTTTCTTCCTTATGTCCTTGGAGCCCAAGCTCACAAGAATCAAGCTCCTGTCGGTTAGATATCGGTGCCCAAAAGATTTGATTGGTTCCACAAGCTGAGCCTCATAATCCGAGGATTTAGAAGACTCCATAGAAGAGAGTACTATAGGCAGAAGGGAGGTTGTGTCGGATTTCCTCTGGACCTCATTTTTATTCTGATCAGAAGTTGAGATGGCAATAGCTAGAGCTTTAGCGATATCTAAGTGACCTCGTAGAGCTGCATGCTCTTTAGCTGACCAGCCTGAAGAATCTAGTTTTATTAAATCAACAGATGCATCAATCAATAGCTCAACTATTGGTAGATGTCCGTCTACACATGCAACATGTAGTGGGGTCCATGAAAACTTTTTTTCAACAAGTTCTAAATCAACTTTCTGACAGGCACTGCCTCTGATTAATATTTTTGCACAGTCTTTATGCCCATATCTAGCGGCAATATGCATTGCAGTTTCGCCATTTTCATCTTGCCAGTTAATATTAGCACCATGATTTATAAGGAGTTCCATAATGGTTGTTGCATTCAGCTTGGCAGCTAATAGTAAGGCTGTACTATATTTGGAAATACTTACCCGTGTGACAGGTAATTCTTGGTTCTCAATTTGCAAGTTCTGAGTATTCAGAAGATTCTGGGCAGTTATAAAATGACCACCAATTATGCTGAGGTCGAGTGGCGATAGCCCTTTGTAATCCTGCCATTCTATGGCATCGATACCATTAGAAACATGGTATTGTCCCCAACTTGTCATGTAGTTGATGATCAGCCTGCAGATTGAAATAAACCCAAATTGAGCGGCATAATGTAAAGGGAGACGTCCATGAATATCCTTAGATTTGAGCGCGGTACGTTGATGAGGTTGAAGATTGTCTAGAATATAGCTGAGTGTTCTAGCATACTCATGAAGACTCGGCTGCTCAGACTCAGTCAATGTGCTCCTGATTGAGGCACATAGTGGGTTCGAAGCTGGAAAGAGAAAACAGACATTATCTCTTGACTCTAGCCAAGGTTCTGGAATTTCAGCTCGGTCTTCTTTTTCAGATTTCACATGCCTGATTGAGATGACAAAACGATGAAGACAATTGCGTTGATTGATATCATCTGGTTCCTCAAGGCTGTGTATTGTCCCGATTAAATACTTAATGGAGTTTTCTGCTCTAAGAAGAGTCGCTCGTTGTAGAAATTTTACAAGTAGCTTTTGACTAGACGGACAACTAATATCTACCACAGCTTTTTCGATGTTTTCCTGTAAATTAGATGTATCATCATTTTGAATGGCCTGGTATATACTATCAAAAAAATGTATGTTAGTTTTTGGTAGTTCCTCATTTAGACGATCTGTAGCACAAATTTCTTGAGTATCTACGCAGCTCTTAATTTCTCCAAGAATTGAAAGCCAGTTATTTATTTCGGTTATTCTGTCCAGTATATCTGAATCTTGTGAAAACTGTTTCTGATCTACTTTAGCTAGGAGATATCTTTGCTGAACATGTGCATTCGGTAACTGCTTGTCGAGTTTCTTTGTAATTTTGGTGAAGCCTCTTCGATTAACCTCACCAAACCATTGCAGTTTTCTCAATTCTCCTCGCAGATCAAGAAGAGCGCTAATATTTTCATCAATTTCACTCTGATCCATTTTCTGTATTGCATGTTTAGATGTTCCATATTTCTCTTGAAGTATTTTCAACCGTCGGTTTGTATCTGCAAATTTTTTGTTGTAAAAATCGTCTACAGTTTCAAGGTTTCTGTCAAGATGAAAAAATAGTTCTGTCGTTGGAGGTGGTGTGAGTTTCGATGACAGATATAAGACGAAAGTACAAACCTGCAAGATCTACAAAGGCGCTAGTTTGAGCGGTCTTAACAGCCGATTGAATAATTTTTTTTAGTTCTGTGTAATTGATGTAGTTATTGGACCACTCGGGCACCTGGTTTCGAGGCAGGCTATTTCGTGGCTCTTAGTGTGGTATTCAGTGTTGACAGATTAAGTGGACTCACTTGTTACCAAATTTCATTTTTACGTTCCTCAACAGTTAAAAATCAACATGTGAGTGAGAAGAATGAGTAAGTTGTACGACCAGTTACGTCGACAATTTAGAAGATATTTTAAGAATCACAAGTGAAGTTCCAATTAATCGTGGAGTTGCCGTGCTAGCTCCAAGTTTCAGCTTTATTCCCAGATGATTACAGAGATACCGGGCGTCTTGTGAGATATCACTACAAACCCGGCAGGACTTAATTCTCGCTTGCTCTGAAATCTACATACATGAATTTTGAAATACGACGTCAACCCATGGTCGAAAATTCTGGTTATGCCACATAACACGAGCTTATTTTGGACGGGAACAAAATGGTGGAGAGCTTAAAAATTTATTAGCACAGGTCGGATTTATAAACCACCCGAGACACTCGCCATAATGACTCGAGTCCATTTCGTATGCGAAGCAAGTGATACGTAATGGGGGATGAAGGCTGAACATCTATCAGTGGTGTCCACTACGAACCTAGTAGTGAAATCTATCATCAGAGCTAAGATCTAGCCTTCTCTCAACGGTCGAATCAATTTAATTCTGACTGTGAATCTAATCAGAAGGATCAGTGTTAAGCTAATTTTGGTCCGAACTCCCGGATTGCAGAGATTTATCGACTACATAAATCAAGAAGAAAATTCTCAACATCATTCAAGCCAATATCATTTCAAGCTGAATATCGTACCCCCCTCGATACATAAAATAATCTTTAAAGTCCTCAATTAATACTGAAAAAGTCACAAGACGACCTGCGATCCTTTCTTTCAACCCTAGTATTGGCAGGGAATTATCACAGGATTCCAAGTCTGAATTCCTCGTAGGAATTTCCTATGACGAGATCAGAGCCGGCAAATGAAGATAGAAGAGATGCTGGGCCGTTGAAGCCTTAGAAGTGATTGGGATGGAAGAATTAAAGTTGGCAGAGGCAGTTCATTCCCCAAATACTTTACAACTTTCGAAGGCGCTGGCACGTCGAGTAATCCTTACAGACTGAGCTAACCGGCACTTGGCCCAGTGGTCTAGTGTTGTGCACCATTCTGCAACTTTCAAGATTTTTGATCCGTAATTTAAGGTTCTAGGTATTCAGTTTTTCCCGCACTAAGGGTACCATTTTCACACCTGTCAGTGATGTCCCCTACGAACCTCTGGCTCTAATTGTAGAGTCTGCAGAGCCGGGATTGAGTTACAAAGTCCTACTTATCATCCACCCTTGATAATGGAGGAAAAGCCATCCGATGAGTTTCCGGAGCGTACCCAGCACCCAATACGGAGATGGTGGATTTGATCAAGTTGAACTCCAATGTTACAAATACGGTAGATATAGACGAATTTGCGCACCCCATGCTGTGATGGCCTCACCATCACTCATAGAGAGGGGTGCCTCAGACTTCTATCGGCACTAGGCATCTGTCCCATCTCTATGGCCGTGGCACTATGCACGGACTCCAGACGCGTAAACAAGGTATTTATTAGCTTCCTTCCATATGAATTCTGTTAGTCGCACAACCTTGTCACATTTAGGTGAATCATATGTTTAAAGTTTTGCTGCATAGATATTTAATTATCAGTCTAATTGTTACTATATACCGTCTTTCGACTAGCTGTGACAATGAGGTCCCAGTGTCTAGGCCTCGCCCGGCTGGGACTGCAGGTTTTTTGAGACTTCTCCCGCGAACGCAGTTTCCATTGCTACCGTTTTATTTTTTTTTGGGTTAGAATATTCCGTGGAAAAGCTGGCTAAACTTAACGGGTGAACACTGGGCTAAATGGCTATTCATCACGGCGATACATTGATGACTTTTCAAGTAACAGAAGATGATAGGAGCACTGTACAAGGTATCGCCTTGGTCATAAAGGAGCCCAAACTGATAGATAGTGATATACTCAAATAGTATATTAAAAAACACACAACATATATCACACCTGTTTCCGGCAAATATGGATTCTTTACCTTCCAGCGGTGCCACTGTAATCGCTCAGTATGCCCTGCATATCTTTGATAGCCAAGAGGAATCGCATCCGAATCAAAGACGGAAGCAATCTCAAGCACATCTAAAATCGACGACTCATCGTCAATGTCGGACCTATCATTCTCACGCGAGTCCTCAACCTCAATCTTATTAGAACACCTCGCCTCAGCCAGCGATAAAGGCCTTGATCCAATTGCAATCAGGAATTTACCTTGTCAAAAATTGGCCGTCTCCCACTTCAAGGTCACGATGCTATACATACCCGGGAGGAAACTAAGTCATAATCTACTAAGCTCGGGTCTTGGTCTATGGGAGACCGTTGCTCTTATGGGGCTTCACATCTTGAGGGAGGACAGGCAGCTGGGATGTGGGAAGAACGAGTGAAGAGGTCACAAATGAGCATGCTGGGACGCACATCTCTCGAATATTTTCGACTCAAGGGTGTCTGGGCGCAGAGGCAACGATTTCGGATAGTGTTGGAAATTCTGACCCTTGACTTTAGGACCCAACCATTATCTGTTTCGTCTCAGGTTCCCAACAAGATCGACTCTCTCTACGCTTATACCGGGTGCGCTAATAGCATCTATTGTTGCATATACGTATGGGTATTTACGAACTACGGTGTACCTTGGCTCATCGTGGTAGATGAGAGGTGGCTGGTCATCACTAGATTGACAGGCATATGAGACTAGCGGGAATTTCTCTCTTAGATGTATGTATAAGTCCAATGTTTCCATAGTTGTAAAAGATTAGGTCTTCTTTACTTCATCACATATATCCATATAATATCGTACAGAGGATATTTTCCAACGCTCTTCCCCTCGGTCTTGTCACATTTATCTTTGAATTGTGATCGAGTTCCAGGCATTTTCACTATGCCTCCCGACTGAAAAATGCATCCCAACGCCATGTTGGACAACACAAGAGTCTGCTCATGGGCTCTCGCACAATTATCTGGCCTTGTCCAATCTTTGTAATGCGCGGAGATGGGCCGGGTCGTTTCGAAAGGGAAGGAAAAGATCCTTCCCATAGTCAACGAGCTCGATACTGATATGATCGGGACAGTTAAAACCGTCGAGGAAATTCCTCAAAAAGCCTCCATCACCCATGGGATTGGAGAATCATTCAAGTCTCCCTTGACCGAGCCTTGACCGTCGGAGAAAACTGCAACGAAAGAGGTTTCAACCAAAGAGTCGCAGTTCCAAGCTGCCATCAAAGCAGAATGCCCTCCAGAGCTCCGACCGGTTCTCGGAACCGAAGAGCAACGCGCCGCCGATACAGCGGCAAACCTGACAGTCTGTTCCGCCGCCATCTCTGGTGTCGAAGCAACCCTCCTCCCATTAACAAATGGAACAAATCGACAGTTTGTAGACTCCATGAGGGTCTACCTACGCGCTGCAATAGCGCAATTTATGGCCTCGGACCCGACCTCTATGCCAGGCGACCCCTCCTACGAGAGCCCCCAATGCCAAGAGTGCAACTTTCAAAAACCACCTGGGCTACGGTAGCCAATAACGGACTACGACAAAAAAAATCCCTCACTTTAAAGGCTGTGTCGCAACCTGCGACTACAGACCAAAAGAAAGAAGATCCTAAGGCTAAAGTCGACAAAATTTTGAAAATATGGAGTACAAAGATAAGTCAGGTGATGGTTAATGGCAGTTATCGAAGAGTTTAGTTGAGGTTTCTATTATTTCTGCGTTGGGATACACTTTTTCGATGCTACAAAGCTTGATAATAAGTAGTCCCGACCGACTGGTGTTTGGCGAATGGAGATTGTGTATACCCTGTGCTAGCGTTGTTTACTGCTGTTAACAGGAGATCTCACACGGGCTATCTATTGGGATTAAAAGGGGTCTGGTACCTGTGTTTAGAAGAGTAATCGAATTGACATCCTTTTATCCTTCATGATTGCATGAGCTTCCCAATACCAACTAGTCCACAAAGTAAGTAGTGAGACATTCTTCAACACAAAAGACTTTTTCTGCGCCTTAACAGCGACCACCCCTGGCGCAAACTATCCACTAGTGACTTGAGAGACCATATGGTGAGTACTTTCGACTACTTGCGCGATAAAATCAGCTCGTTTCATCGAGTCAAGGCCAGTATTGCTCTTCTGGAAAAACACGAAAAAATACGACAAGAGATGTTAGATGCCTCTTCGAAGCTGGCGAGTGTTAACGCCAAACTTGAGGCATCTTCGGGTCTGGTCGCCTTAAAGATATCGAACATACCTGTAAGTCTAGCTACAGCATGGGCCGCTTTAGGGCCGATCTCATGAAACGTGCCGACCTGGTGCGCCGTATTGCAATCAGCATGCCCTTTATCCTCGGAAATCTGCCCCTCGCGCAGGATTCCGCATTTTCGACGAGTCTGGAATGTCCACCATTCACAAACCTCGTCGCCAAATTGAACAGTGAAAACGCTGCTTGGGCTTCCACGCCACCCTTGATTGCTCCCACGCATCAGCCAGCTGGAACTGCGGATGAAAGATGCACTCGGCTTCCGAGTGCAAAGTCCTCACTCCGTGTCGCAACTGTGGGAGACCGGTGACAAAAGAGCAAGGGAGGTTCGCGGTGGTAGTAAGAGCTAGAGCTGCAGCCAAAAGGGCCGCTGGGACGATCATCGCCTCAGCGAAGGATGTTTCAAGGGCCGAGGGATCAGGTTTTGGAGTGCTTGAATCTAAAGAAGTAGCTTGGAGGCACACCAATCTCGAAAGCTTCTTTCTGGGCATTACTAACCAATGGCAGGATACCTGCTGTATCAAAGGTGCCTGTTAAACCATCTTTTTCTCTCAGCAGAGATTGAAAAAATTGTCATTAGGAAGGTGTGACGGGCGAGGGAATGTGCGAGGAGCACATTGCTTAGGTCCATTGTTGAGGAATCTTCTGGTCTTCGGGATTGTTTTAATTTTCTTGTTTTCAGTTTCTGTATTAATCTGTTGCAACT